GCATGCATTTACGAACGAAGAGTCACTCGACTCTTCGTAATGTCCGACGGTCCAGCAAAGAGCCAAACTCCTCTCCTATAAAAGGAGGGCTTGGCTGCAGGAAGAAGACACTTGAAACATCTCTCTCTCTGTGTTATATAAGCTTTCCAACTATCTCCCATTTCCGATCATCTTCTCCGGCGATAACTTCACGTCGTTCTCGTTCGCCGGTGCTTTGTTTTACCGCTCTAGACCTAGCACGCTGCGGTTTTATCCTGGGAGGAGAATGCCCACGTTTGCCAGTGCGGGAGGCGGGCAATACTACCTTAAGGAAAGCTCCGGCGACTCCGCTTTCCTAACTTATATTTCCAGAAACTGCTCCGGAGACTTGCAACTTTACGTCCGATGTTTCTACGCTGTTGCCGTTCCTGTTCCAGTTCTGCCAGTTCGTGCTCTTCCAGTCCTCTGCCCGTTCGTGTTCCCGCTGTCCGTTTCCGTTCGAGATTCCGAAGACTCCATTTTTCTTTCTCTTATTTTTCGTTGTAAAATCCGAACGTTTTATAAGTTCGGATTAATTTATTTTTATTTTTCCCGCTGTAATATTCAACCGTACGTTGTTCAACCTCTGAGCATATAAGGTTGAATCCAATTTTTTCTAAACAAATTTGTTTTGAGTTCTTTCTAAACAACTTCTCTCTTTTGCATACTGTACATAAAAATGTAGTAAATTAGTTGATACACTCTGCTTGTATTTTTGCAAATGTCAAAATTTGCTATTTACTTAATGTTCTGTTAAAACTAATTATTAGCTAATAACTAAGGCATAGTGAACATCTATTTCAACAATTATTGTATAACGGGCAATTTAGTGTATGCTTATCATAACTAATGATAGCCTTAACATTTGCAAAAATATAATATAGTGGACTTAACCCGTGCTACATAACTGAGAATCTACATTTTTTAACTCAACAATTTTTCACAAATTTTTGGAAAGAGATTTAAAAATAATATTTTTCTCTCAAACTCCAACTTTTTTGGATATTAATAATTATTAGCCATTGTGATGGGATAAATCTATTCTAACCAAATTTGTAATTTTGGACTTACGAGTAATTGAGTTTCATTATTTGAGTAGTGGGTTATATTCTTCATTTACAACTACTCCCTCCGTCCGGTATTAAACTTCACATTTGGATTTTTTCCCATTTTTATGAAGTGTTGACTTTAGGATAAAAATGTTAGAAATGCCATCCCCCCAACTATCGTCGACCACCCAAAAACTACCGCAGGCCCAAAACTACCGTCGACCACCCAAAAACCCTGCAGCCCCCACCACCACCTCAACCCCTAGATCTTCTAAGACCTTACGGATTTAGAAGACAAACAAATAGGAGAAAAAAAGGAATAAAAAGAGGAAGAAAGAAGATGATTTGATTTAGAAAAAGAAAAGAGGGATGAGAAAGAAATGGGAGAGAAGAAAAAGAAGAAGAAAGATGAACGGATCTTGAGGGAAAAAAGGAGGACGAAAAAGAATATCGGGGAGAAGGAGGATAAGAAGAAGAAGAAGAAGGACCAGATCTCGAGAAAAAAACAGGGGCAAGAAAGAACTGGGGGAGAAGAAGAAGAAGAAGAAGAAGGGGGAGGAGGAGGAGGAGGAGGAAGAGGAGAAGAAGAAGAAGCAAAATGAACGGATCTAGAGGAACAAATATGCAGAGAAGAACAGAAAAAGAAGAAAAAGAGATGAGGAAGGAGAAAAAGAGAGGAGAGAGGTGAGGAACTAAAGGAGGAGAGAGAAATGGGGGAGGGGAGGGATAGAGTGAATATTGGTAAGTGGGAGTATTTTGGATAGTTAGTGTATAAAAAATTGAAATGGGAAGATTATTTCCGAACGAAGGTACAAAATTAATGTTCACTGGCCACAGCAAAACATGCACATCACTCCCAAAATTACAGACATTTACAAAATCAAGAGAAAACAAAGCCCAAAGGGGTGGTGTGTAGCTAGAGTAACAACCAATACGTTGTCAGTCACACATCTAAAATGGATCCATCTTTTATCTATAGCTACTTGGTGGACATAGTTTATAGTATATGTACTTGTGGCGAGTGGACCTGTAACACCCTAGTCCGTCTTGGTCTGCAACCTCTTTCGGACTAAAGTATTAACTTGGTAATCATAAATATTAAAAATATTTCAACCACTTAAAATTTTATTTATTAATATAATATTCATAACAGAAATAGTAACGGAGTTTTCAAAGTTGCAGAAACTTAGTTAATTTTACATCATAATCATTGATTCATTTTTGAAACAATTCAAAACCATCACACATCCATCTGACATCTCATGTCCCCATCTGCCGCCAGGATCAATCACATCATTCTTTATTTTGTTTACCTGCGTGTAGCAAATAAAACATACTACACGCTCAGCGATGAAGCTGAGTAAGAAGATCTAATGCATCAAACATCCATATAAATTGAATCTCAATTCATAATCAAATCATTTGATATCATGTATATAATATTATTTTAAGGATTTGGTATTCAATATTGAATATTCATAGTGTCAACAATGCTCTTAAACTAATCTTAGTCTAAAGCCAAAATCGTATTAATAACAAAGCTCTTAAACTATTCTTAGTCTTAGGCAAATATTTCTAACCAACTCTTAAACTATAATTAGCTTAAGGTACATATTTATAACCAACTCTTAAACTATAATTAGCATAAGGTAGTACATCTTTCTAACCAACTCTTAAAGTATAATTACTTTAAGGTACAACACAAGAATAACCGAACAACGGACTACTCACTGTCGAGTAGGTGGTATCCCCAAACGAGTTATCCTCTAGTTTGGTTTGTATATCCCGTACGTACATTTTTACCCAAGCCACCAGACTTCATACCCGCAAGGCCTAAATGAACTAAGTCACATGGGGTCTATCTTAGAGTTTTCTAGACAGCCTTAATAGTCAATATCATTTTCATAATCATCATTTTATTAAGGATATTTGTGTTTTTAATCATGGTTCCATCATCATAATCAATAATAAGGAACAATTAGCATATTATTCAATATCAAATAGCGGCCTAGCGTCGAGTGTTAGCACTCTAGCTTACCGTCATGCATCACACAAGGTTCTTGGATTTATCAAAATATTGTATTTATTCCAGAAATCATTTTCATATTGACCATAATTGAATGATATCAAAAATAGGATATTACATTTCAAAAATCAAGTTTCTGGAAAAATTCTGGGTTTAGACGTTACCCGTTACGGTACCTCGGTACCAGTACACGATACCGTCTAAACTGTACGGGGTGCCGTCTGGTGGTTGATCCCGCCAGAGGAAAAATCGGATCGCGTTGAGACAATAGGTACCATCCAGACGGTAGGTCGATATCGTCTCTGCGTGAGTTTGAACAATGTTGTCTTCAACCTCGGGTTAATTTTCCAAAATTTCATTTTTAATCATTAAAATTCAATTAAACTATATAGAAATATATTACAGAGTTCATAGATCATTTTGGAATTATTATTTTGAAGTTTTAACAACAATTTCAAGGTTTATGATTCTTATTTTTTCAAGCATGTCAAACATAAAACTCAACCAAACAATTGTTTATGAAAACATTCTAATCACTACATATATCTAAGGGCTTACCTCGGGCTTAAACGGAAGTTTTGGAAATTTTCTGGCGAAACTTTCAGCGGTGATTACTCCCAACTCTGACGACCTCATGACCTCTGGACAACACCACTGCATCCCTCATATTCGTGAGGGGTTGAGAAGGGAAGATGCTCCTTATATATCAGAGGTCTGGAAAGAAGCCAAACTCACGTTGTTTCCTTCCCCTGTGTGTTCGACTGAGTGGAGTGAGCGGCTTGACTTCGTGGATTTTACACATCATTTCTGATTGGGACTAATTTGGTCCCAATCAGAGTACACTTTCTGGTCCAAGTTTCTCTAAATTAAAATCCAATTGTACGTTTGCGATCACTCAGTCAAACTCTACACAAAGATATAACTTTCATTATTTATTGAAAAACTTTATAAATCACTTATTCTTTTTTATCTTTCTCAATAATTAATTAGTTATTAATTAATAAATTCTGATATGCCTATTTTCGGGGTGTTACAGGATCTCTGATGCTATACCTTGTATTCATGTTCATGCTGTGTTCCACTCTTTCCGACAACAAGTTCATCACAATATATTACCGGCTAGGTACTCAGTTAAAAGCTATTTGAGTTGTTATAGTGGTACAATTCAATCTATTATTTTTTCCCTCAAAATTTAGATGTTGGGTGCTTTAAGATTGTACCACCAAAAAGACCAGTGAAAGAGATCCCATGTTCTAGAAGATGTCAACGTAATTGGTACTCGGATGAGATGGATTTTTGGGCAAGGAGATGATTGCAATTTAATAATGTTTCATTTATGATAAACGATGTATTTTTATTCCATTTTTCGAGTTATTAGTTATGTATTATTCGATTTCTTTATCAAATAAATCTATATTTCTCACATGTCAGTATTTTTTATATTACAAATATTTAGTACAAGTTATAAAATTTTACAACTAATAATATTATTCAAAATCTTTAATGATAAAATACAAAAAATTAAACTAAAAAAAATAAAGCCCATTCGCCACTGGTGGGGTGGGTGGAGGGGGTAGCATTCAAAATTAAATAAAATAAATTTAAAAAAAATACTCCTTCCGTCCTAAAATATTTTTCTCAATAATTATTCATACGGTCAAACTTTAACTACTTTCTTTTATTTATTTTCGTTAGTTATTTGATAAAATAATATAGTCTTATCACCGCTTGTTTAATAGAATTTTTTATGTAACTTTTAATTTTTTAAATTTTATTTTATAGTTTTATACCTACAATTAAATAAATTAAATTGAAAATAAAATTGGTCAAACCTGAGAAAATTTAATTTATTTTTTTTTAGAATTGATTTTACAAAAGCCTATTTTCTTGAGAAATGCCTGCCAAAAATCTTCCCACTGCAATAATTCTTTCCCCTCGGCGCCTAGCATCCTTCTTCCCTTACCTCTCAGTCCGCTCCTCCCTAAACCGCCTCAATCTTCGCGTCCCGAGCACAGTCGCCCTCCTCCACAGCGGGCGTCGCTCTCAGTCGCGCAGCCACAGCCAGCCTCCAACTCCGCGTCGCATCCAGAGCACGTCCGCAGCACCCCGAGTCCAGCTCCACCTTGCCGGGTAAATTTCATCAACATTTACTTTCCATTTCCAAACAATTGGAATCTGCTAAGTGTTCTTTCCGTGAAATCTTCTAAGTGTGATTTACTTTCCGCGAATTCTGCTAAGCACTCTCCAATTCTTCTGCTTGATTTACTTTCTTATAATTTGCTTTATTGATTCCTTAAATTGTAATATGAGTTGAAGAAATTCCATTATTGATTTCATTCTTGAGTCTGTTTTTATTTCAAACACCCTAAGCTGCAGTGGTTTCATTTTTGGCTAAAGAAAAATGTTATCCAGTCAAACAGTTGTAATGAAACTAATAATGGAATTTCTGAAACTTTTTACCCCCTAATTTATCCACAACACTCTACATTCAAGAATGTGTAATTGGGATTGTGTAAAGCAATGAAAGTCATCCAGGGAAAGATAAAATCGCCTTGCAATTTTGATGATGTTGAAATTATTGGATTAGTAATAGCCATTTTGAAAGTATTGACGCACTTGTACGAATGTGTTCATCCTCTCTGATGCATTCGATTCCTGCTACGTATGGTGTCACCATATATTGTTATGAAGTTTATGGTAAGATGTCATCATATATGGGATGCTGGTTGCTCTCAATATCTAAGGTGTGCATTATAAAAGACAACAACAAACAAGAAAGCACAATGGGGGCAGGGGTTGGGCGGGGTGAAGGAACATATGGAAATAACAGGCAGCATTCAAAATATTGCTGCTCTCATGTATGATGTATCATTATCAGAACTTAGAGAACATAAAGTCATAATTGGGGTGTTTCAACGTTTCACTAAAAACAGCAAATGGAATTTTGAGTTTCAACTTTCAACTAACTTTGGGGAGTTCAATTCTTTTTTTTTACTGCTATAAAAGCATAGCTTATATCATCAGTGAAAACCTTCTGCGCCATTCTTCGAACCAACCTTCCCATTAATTCACAATAATGGTTTTGCTGGCTCAGTCGTCACATTCACCAATCTAGCGAGCTTCCATTCGATCATCTACCCCTCACCATTAATTCTTTCCATCTCAATCCCTTCATTCAATTCCTTTGATTATCACCCCCCCCATTCTTCTTCACTTACTGTGAGTACAAATGGTGTTGGGGGGAACAGCCATTGTACTGCTGCAGAGATGATGTTTGGTGTGTATTAGGAGGAGAGCTTTACTCCCAATTTGTTAATGGCCATTGATCTCCTTCTTATGATCACCTTCACCTGCACTCTAGCTTGTCCGGCCGCCCAGCTAGCTCGTTTCTTTGACGGCGGACATGCGGCAAAAAAAGATGCTTGGAAAAAATCTGTAAAAAAGGGCGGTGAACTACGACAACGGAGACGGGTCTAATTGGCTCGGCAGGGCTGTAGTTTCGGCAACGGCCACTCTATGGGAGAGTGGGAGCCTGGGGAGGACAGTCCGACCGAGGAAGAGGATGCAGTGGGGGAGGCAGGCAGGAGCTGCAGGGTGGCGTTGCAAGAGCAGAAAAGCGGAGTTGCACTCCGAATTCTATTGGCTCTGTTTTACCTACTTTCCTTCCTCGCTCTCTTCTTCGCTCCCAAATCCGCACACCTTACTGCTCACAGTAATTAGCTCCCGGCACTGTGACGCCTACTACTCGCCATTCATCCATGCTCCATATCCTGTAGGGCCCGTTCAAACTTAATTTATTATACTAGTAGCTGTGTGTATCTATTACTCCGTCATGTTTAAATTCGTGTTATTGTATTTTCAATTAATCTGTAGGGTCCCGCCTGCGGCGGGACGACTATTATATATGTTTATGTTATGCTATTCGTTATGGTAATTCATTTGTTTTTGGACCACATTACGGTAATTCAATAAGATTACCATAATATGTTTAAAAAATTAAATTATTATAACAAATAGCATAACATAAACATACATAATGGTCGGTCGCCGCAGGCCGGACGCTAGATATTAATTATGGTAATTAATTAATGTTTGTGTTTTGGTGTTTATGTTTGGGTGCGTGCGTAGAGATGCAAAGATTATTCTATATGATCAAGCAATTGGTTATATATCTTAATCCGTAATTAACTTTTTTTTAAAAAAATGCATCACGTTAGAATATAACTGATATAAGATAATCAACCCAAGTAACATTATTTGAGGATTTAAATTTATCAAGCTATGGGGCCCCACAACTGACTAAATCACAATTTTCCTTTCTTTGAAATCTATATGTGAGGTAGTTTTTAAATCACATGTGTTTGTATGTTTTTTTATATGGAAAAGCATTTTGAACAATCAAACGATTCCATCAACAGTTATGGATGAAAAATGCGTTTGTGGAAGAAAATGGAACTCTTGATTTTACACTAAAAGAGAATTTTCGCCAACAATTTATCAAAACGACATTAACACTATGTTGGGTTTAAGAAAGTTGAAAAGGAAAAGAAAAGAAAATGTGATGAAAAAAGAAAAGTGAAAGAAAAAAAAATCAAAGTTATGACATAAACAAAATGCCATCAGTACGGTTTGTGAAACATACAGGAGAGCATTAGCATATCTAAGAAGGTGATCCTTTGCAGTCAGTTTTTTTGGGACAATTGTGTTTATAATGTCCTGTCCTTGCACAACCATGACAAAATGGTACATTTGCTAGAGCTTTCTTTAACCCTCCCTTAAAACAACCTTTACTGGATGTCTGGATCCTGCACTACATTCCCTTTGCCTACCCTTCATTTGCAATACACATGGATCAGCTATCACATGGTTAATTGCAACCCCGCTTATGTCCATTTCACTTACGTCATCCGCAGTACGACCATGATCAAGAGGACTAGCAGGTTCACCTACATTTTAGGCAGAGATGTAAAGTTTATTCATACCAGCAACAATCATGCGAAACTTTGACAGGCTCTTGAAGCATTCTAAAACACGACTGAGATAGTCAAAGAATGAATTTATACTTTCAAAACACTGCGTAGTTTGCATCCCTTCAAGAAATACAAATCAAAATGAGAACAGTTGAAAACATTGGCATAGTCCCACGGGATGAAACTGAATAAAATTACAGAGATATACCTGCAAAGAATGCGTCTTGATAATATATGGGTACCCACATCATTCTAATTACTCCCTCCTTCCTGCAATACTCATTCACTTCGGTTTTGGCACACAAACCAAGGTTGAGACGGTGCCAGAACATGACATTTTTCTTCTATCTAATTTCTACTCCGTTTTGAATCAGGAGGGGATGTATTTAAGCCAAAAAATGTGTGTCAAATAAAACAATTTTGAAACAATATTGAAATGTTTTGAAACGGACCAACGGATTAGTATGTAGGACTCTTGAGGAGATGTGCACATAAACCCCTTTTCCTAAAATTGGGCAATCTTTTGCTTACATTGCAATTGGAACCGTTATAAACTATTTTATCCCAACATTTTGACCTACTCGCTACTAATTTATTTTACTCTCTCGGCTCATCACATACGACCCCATGTTCTTTTGCTGAATCAAAATATAGTAAAAATTCCAATTTCAAACCAATTATGATCTTTTTTTAATCCAAAGATTAATTTTGCTGGATTTTAATATTTTTATTCTTCCGGACTTCGAGACGTTCCAGTGACAAATAAATTTTGGGTTACAGTAATTTTGAGCTCTTCTCAATCTTTGTTTTGTGTAACTTTTGCTTCCTTACCGTCTATAGAAACTCGAGCAATATAGTCGAATGATTGAAATTTGAAGCCAAAAGGTGTTTGAATGAGTAGTGCACAGACAAAAAAGCAGCCTATTGGTGATGGCCAGTAGTCCACCGTTAATTGTATTACATTTACATTTCACAAATCATATAAATTGTTTGGAACATTATGGGAAATATACTACATCGAAATGGAAGGGAGACGGGTCAAGGGTTGCTACCCGTCTCCTATTTTGAGTAGAAGTGAAGTTAGAGGTACCGATCTGATTTTATTAAGGTCTGGTGTGATGTGATCCATGTGATCTGGTATGATCTAATAGGTTGTATTTTTCAAGTTATATTTTAAGTTGTTTCTGTTTTGGTCTTCATTCCGTTAATTCCGATGGAGCCAAAATTTCACCATTTTTGGCTTTGGGTATGATGGAATAAATCAAAATGGATCTCTAAACTGTCTGCGCTTCTTTAATTAATGAAGTAGCAGTTAGTCAAGCAATGCAACTTTCAATGTTGAGCCGGGGGTCTCTTTGGAAACAGCCTCTCTACTTTCGAGTAGGGGTAAGGTCTGCGTACACACACCCTCCCCAGACCCTACTCTTGTGGGATTTAACTGGGTTGTTGTTGTTGTTGTTCTGTTTTGGTCTGATCCGATTCCAATAAGAATNAGCCAAAATTTCACCATTTTTGGCTTTGGGTATGATGGAATAAATCAAAATGGATCTCTAAACTGTCTGCGCTTCTTTAATTAATGAAGTAGCAGTTAGTCAAGCAATGCAACTTTCAATGTTGAGCCGGGGGTCTCTTTGGAAACAGCCTCTCTACTTTCGAGTAGGGGTAAGGTCTGCGTACACACACCCTCCCCAGACCCTACTCTTGTGGGATTTAACTGGGTTGTTGTTGTTGTTGTTCTGTTTTGGTCTGATCCGATTCCAATAAGAATAAAAGAATAAGTAATATTAGTAAGTTGAAGAGAACATGCTCTAAATATGTAGGTTGTTGAGGTTAATAGTGTATCTTTATTCAGAAGTAAAGTGTGCTTATCAAAATAGATAATGCAAAGTTGATTTTGGGACAAAAAAAGGTAAGTTAATATTGGGATGGAGGGGGTAATAAATAAATGAAAATTATCTTCTTTCATTCAAAGTAGACTTTCTTTTTGGGACTTAAGCAAGTTAAATTTTGGACTTTTTTTTGACGGTGATAGTAATACATATTTGATATGGAATAATTTTTTTCATGTCGCAGAAGATTTTGATTTTTGAAATTGTGACTCGTGGCTTGGCATTAAGTGAGGAAGTACTTTGCAGTTACTGGGTATTCATTTCTTGGCTAGCATTTGCAGTACGAGGCGAATTGAATTTCTTTCATCAATCAGAGCTTAAGAAGTCTTCAACTTGTCTTCAACTTGTCTTGTGCTCAATGGTCATTTCCTCTTACTCTTTAATGGGTTTTTATCTAGAGATTCACTCTTCTTGAGCTGGTGGCATATTCTTCTTTCATTAAATGGATTATTCACCGTACACTTATTGTCCTTTGGGAAGGACCATTAGAACAAAATTAAAGAGTATTAAGATAATTTGACAGTTTCAGGTTTGAGTGTCTCTTCAGTTATACCTGAGGAACTCAACCATACATTTAAATGTTATTTGAGGTCTTAACAACTCCTAAGTTGTTAGTTTTTGTTCAAGTCACAGGCTTCTAGTAACCATTCTGATGATAAGTCCGAAAGCAGACTTTATGTTGGCAACCTGGATTTCAGAATTTCAGAGTAAGGACACATCTGTTGTGAATTCCTCTAAATCATAAGTACAGAGTCATTGAGTGTAGCTTCATATAATTTTGGATAACGAGGTTTTTTTTTTGGATTCAAGGGCTGCATTGATTAAGATGTTTTCACCATTTGGAAAGATTATTTCTGAAGACTTTCTGTGGCATACTCGCGGGCCCAAACGTGGGGAGCCACGTGGTTATGCATTTGTTCAGTTTAGTACCAAAGCGGTAAGTTTTTTAATCTGTGATGATCTCACACGTCGTATGAAGAGTTAATACCTGACTACACAATACAGACACACTTTAGTCCTCTTGCATTTTTGTCGTAATAAAAATGGTAATTTGTACCTTACGGTTAAGTTTTGTTCCAAAATACATAGTTGGGGACTGGGGAGTAGATTGGGTGTTGCTTTGCATCTAAATTTTTTAAACAAATAAAATTACCCTTCTTTTCTAGAAGTAATTATGTATCAGGACTAAATGAGATCCAAATTTTGTAGTCAACAAGAACAAATAGCCCATTGCATTAAACAACAAGAAATAAGAACAAGTAACCCACTATTTTAAACAAGAACAACAAATAACCTGCACCATCCCACAAGTGAGGGTCTGGAGAGGGTAAAAATGTAAGCAAACTTTACCTCCACCCCATGTGGCTTTCCAATTTTAATAGTTGAGGGCCAAACTATGGGATTTTTCACATTTATGGTCACCTAATTTCTTTTGCGCATTATGTTCTATTATACTCCGTAATAACTAGATTACCAGACGAGAAATGTTCAGCCCCAAAAATTCAGACAATGAAGTACTATTGAATAAGGTCATATTGGGAAAATATAAATGACTTTAATTATTTTTTTTCATTAGTTTGTGTAAAAGAACAAAAAATTATGCCGCCGGGATTGTGTCAGAGTCAGACAATAAAATCAGACAATATTCGAAAGACAGAAACATTCAGATGAGGCCAGCTAGACACATTACCGGCACCGCACACTAATAATAGACTAGAAATATTCAAACCAAAGTAGATACTCCCTCCGTCCCAACTTCTCCTCTGTATTTGACTTTTCTTGGTGAAATTTAACAAAATTTGACCGCGATTTATGAAATAACTATATTTAGTTATAATATAAATTTAATATATAGCAAATTTTTCTAAAAAGTCCTTTATAACTAGGAGTTTTCCATATTTAGTCCATATTTATCAAATATTATGTTGACGGTCCTTATTAATTGGGTACCATTTCACGTTTGGTCCTCCGTCTATTTTTCCGTCTCCGTGCTGTTAGACAAGGAATAAACGTGGAATGGTACCCAATTAGTAAGAACCGTGAACATAATATTTGATAAATATGGACTAAATATGGAAAATACCTAGTTATATTTGACTTTTCTCGGTGAAATTTAACAAAAATTGACCGCGATTTATGAAATAACTATATTTAGTTATAATGTAAATTGAATATAATTGTACTTGTTTAAAGATGAAGAATTGATACATCAAATTTTTAAACTCGTATCATTTACGGAGTATTATGTACAAATGTACGGAGTAGTTTTTTTCCAACAAATATACGGAGTAGTTATTTATAATCAAATTATCGAATTTGTGACCGTGAAAAGCCAAATATAAAGCTCTTTTTGGAACAGAGGCAGTATTATTATTATTTTTTAAATCAGATCAGTTTTATTTAGAGGCAAACGGCAGGTCCTAGATCAAAATCAGATACTAACTCTTGTAGTCGAAGCATGGTTAACATACATTCCCTGATTTCTATGTTTAAAAGTGAGGATGCAGGAAGCAGTACTAGCCAAGGAAAAGATGCATGCAAAGCTGGTTGGCGGGCGCCCGCTGATGGTCCGTCTAGCTAGTGAAAAATTCATGGCGGAAGAGGTGGGAGAAAATCCTTCGAAAGCAGTTGGCGAAACACCCAAATCCCATTTCTCTGGAGACTCATCAACACGGATGAGCCGCGGTGCAAAAATAGCTGCAATAAAGAACAAACTGAAGTCTATGGAAGAAGGAGAGGGCCACAATCCCAAACGACGAAAACCCGCTGAAAGTCGCAACAGTTAACTGGAAAACAGCATGTGGTTACCTCAAGCATGCATAGTACTCCGTAAATCTGTTCTTTTTTCAACTTATTCTTATTACTACTAATTGTTTTTTTTATCGGAATTAGACCAAATCAGATCATAGTAGATCACATTCGATCAAGCCTTAATAAATTCAAATTAGAACCAATCAGATTAGACGAAAAGAACATGTCTCTTTGCTCTTGGTCTGTACTATGCGGGCTTGTGCTACAATTATTATGATCACATTTGATTTGTGTATGGTTGGCTGAACAGAGCTAAATTTACGTTTCTCAAATGATCAAACTATGACATAAGTTTATGAAGATGCTATGTAGTGTACTTCGTATGAGACAAGTTATATTGATGGCAAGTATATATAGTGTTTTTGGTTTCCCTTTTTTAAAGTGAACATGTTAAACATTGACTGTTAAGAGCTTGTTCTTTTCAACTTAATCTTATTACTTATAGAGTACTTCCTCTGTCGCAATTTAAGTTACTTGTTTAATCTTCACGAGGTCAAATTTTAATTGATTTCTCTATCCATTTTTGCTACCCATTTGAGAAAATAATAGTTATGTCACATTTTATTTTGTAGAATTTTTGATGAAGTTTTTAAATATATAAATTTATTTTTTTTAATTTCATACCAATTTTCAAATAAATTGAATTGAAAATAACTCCAATCAAACCTCGTAAACAACACATGATTTAAATTGGGACATAAGGAGTATTGAGATCAAATCAGATCGGATTAGAAACAATTTTAATTATAACTACAATTAAATCGAATCAGACATCAATAAAATAAGATTAGATGAAGAGATTAGACTATATTACTCCATATGTTTTTCGAAAAAAAATAATCGGTGTAATTTGAAAGTGAATACTTCGGAGTAAAAATGTTTTTTTGTTAATTACGGAGTATTTCGACAAGAGTAAAATTTACAAATTTTTTGAAAAATGTGCAAGTTAGAAATATAATTGAACTTTGAATGGACGTCTTGATCACTGGGCCAATCGCGCTGGGCCATTACTGTGCTAGTGCACTAAGTCCTGGAACCCTAACCCCGTGGTATCCTGAATGGACATCTTGATCACTCGAGGACCCTAATTAGCTGGGTGATTTACATGCCCACCCGGTCATGTGTGAATCCCACAAAGCTATTCTGTTGCATGTTGGTTGGACCTTGACCGGTCGAACTTGGTTTTGCTGTATCCAGTTCTTGGCTTGGGTGGAATACACCCATCAAGTGGCATGCAAGTTAAAAAATAAAGTACCTCGCAATATTTAATTTATGGTCAACGTATTTCACAATTTATGAAATGCAAAGTAGATTATCATCATCATCTTTAACATTTAATCTTCTTCACCGTCATCATTTCCGTACTTCTTCGTGGTCAAAGTATTTCACTTTGAAATTCTTATTTCACCCTATATAATTTATGGTCAAAGTGTTGCATAGTTTAACTAAACAAGTCAAAAGTGGTACTTTGTCCGTCCCAAAAATAATGTCACAGTGTAATATTCAAAAATCACGAAAACTTTTTTTTTCTTATACGTTTTATTAGTTATTTGATAAAATAAAATATTCTTTTCACCTCTTTTTTTGAAGAACTTTTGATGTTGTTTTTAAATATGTAAATTTTATTTTTTATTTCTATCTCGATTTTAAATAAAATGAATTGCAAAATTTAAAATTTCACTTCATTTTATATAATCTGGCAAATATTTTAGAATAGATTGAGGTAATAATTTTTTTTGGGACAGAGGGAGTAAAAAAAGCAAATTTTTTTTGTTTAGAATCCTTTTATTTTGGGATGGTTATTTTGAAATGGGGGAGAAAATGGGATAAGAAGTGGGGAGTAAAGGAAGATTTGAATTGGATCAATGGAATTTGAACAAGAACCTGAAAATGCGCAAACGCAAAGCAGTTATGGCGCTAACGTCTCATTCAGCCATTCGGACAAACGCACTTCGCGCTCACGCCCTCTTTGCCCTCATCGCCCCCAACTTTTCTTCCATTCCCTTTCTTCACATTCGCATTCCCCCATTTCAATCTCCTCTTCGATCCCATACGGTTGATGTATAAGTCTTTGTTTTCGTGATTTTGGAGTCGATATATGATACATATTTAGGTTATGGAGCAGAAGCGCTTATTCATGTCGGCCTTGGGCGTCGGCGTCGGCGTGGGGCTGGGATTGGCGTCTGGACAGGCCATCAACAAATGGACCGGAGGTTCCGCCAACAGTGCTCCCGCCGATGGCGTTACCGCCGATCGAATCGAGCAGGAACTCCGGCGACTCGTCGTTGACGGAAAGGACACCGGCGTCTCATTTGACGACTTTCCTTACTATCTCAGGTAGTCATTTTGTGATCCGCATTGCGGGATAGTAAAATGTAACATTCATTCAGCCATTCGAATTCCAAATCGGATCGACGCTGAATCACTGGAAATATTTTCCAGCCTTTAATTTCCTTCAATTATTTCAATTTCTTCAGTGGTATTCCCATTTCTGTCATCCTTATTTCTCTATGGTTCCGTATAAGCATTTTGATAAATTGGCGTAGGAAATGTTAGATTTCGTTAGTCCAACGTTCATATGCATTGATTAAGGGCCCGTTTGGGAATAGCGTTAGAGATTAGCGTTAGCGTTTTGGATAAAATTTTAACGGTGCAGATTGCTTTGAAAACGCTAACGCTAAACGCTGTCCGTCGATAGCCTTTTCAAAACGCTAACGCTAATCGTTAAAGCTAATCCCAAATAGGCCCTAAGTAATTTTTTCCGTCTTATTTTTCTTTCAACTCAATTTCAGAAATTTCCCTTTTTTAATCCCCAAGTACTCTCTCTCTCTCTCGTTCTTCCTAAGATTATAAATTTACTGACATCAATATAATTAAACTTCTGGGTGCAAGCAATGATTAAAATTGCTCATTTATGATGACCGAAAACACAATATTTTTCTGTTTTAGAAATTGATCGGAAACAGGTTATGGCTTGACCAAAACACCAAGTATATATTTAGTGAGCTTTTGATCTAATTAATTTATTGAGATCATGTAGGACTTGGAACAAAAAAATTGGAAATTTCCAATATATTGTCATTCTTGAGATTTTCTATTAATTCCAAACAAGAGTTTTGCTTCCGTTTGGGGTCATTTTAGGGAACACTTTTGGTTTCATGCTCAAGTTGTACAATAATCTTGATGGCTTTGACAGTGAACGGACACGAGTGTTATTGACAAGTGCAGCATATGTTCACCTAAACCACTTGGATATGTCTCGGCATACAAGAAACCTCTCTCCAGCTAGTAGGGCAATATTGCTGTCTGGACCTGCAGGTATGAACTCCATGACTAACCTCCCATATTCACTTTTCACAAGCAATTTATTTTATCATGGATGCCCATTTCCAATTTATTGATCTTTAATCTTGCAGAACTTCACTTGCAATCACTTGCAAAGGCTCTTGCTCATCATTTTGAAGCAAAATTCTTACTATTGGATATAAGTAACTTTTCTGTAAAGGTGATTTTCTCGGAAATACAATGATTTTACCATAAATATTTGTTTATTGGCAGACTAATTTTTTCCCCTCTATGTTTCATGGGCCATCCGTCTATAGATGCAGAGCAAATATGGGAATTCTCCGAAACAGCCTGTAAGTTCTGCATTTTCCTGTTAGAGATGAAGTCTCGTCGTGAATATGCTTTGATACTGTAGACAATTACACCTTATATTTCTTTGAGAAAGTAACATGATATTGTTTATTCCTACCTCAAGAAAAGGAGGCCATTTCATTTATGGTGGAATTATATCTAACTTTCATTACAATTGTGTAGCCTTTGAAGAGGTCTTTATCAGAGGTGACACTTGAGCATATGTCCAGTTTACTTGGGTCTCTCTCATCTCTTCAAGTGCAAGATTGTAATAGAGGTATGTAAAGCCTTTTACCGATGTATTATTTCCTAGTACCAGTGCCGGTTGTTGACATGATTGATTTTCAATTATCACCATTCAGGCAGACTGTCAAGGCAGCCAAGTATTGACTCTAATTTAAGGTAATCCTTTGCTCCCATATTGAGTCAGTAAAGTAATGTGGTTGATATCAGTTTTGACAATTTTCACCTGGACTTCGTACTAGCAGTGAAGGCATGGGCGTTCCTCTCAAGCATCGGAGAAATTCATCTGTCTCATCAGATATGAGTACAATCTCCTCACAGTCCTCCTTTTCAAGTTCAGGTTTGGAAATCAAGGAACATTTGTTAGTGGAAATGAGTTATCACCATCAGATTTGTATAATAATTATGAAGTTCAGATGATTTAGAAACTGCATAACAAATGCTTCCCATTAAATATATCTTCTAAATCTTGTGGTATCTTTCATGATTTGCGTAGTTGGTTTTACAATACATATCTTGTAATGAAACATGGTTCAGAAGCATTGTGCTGTAACGTATTTAATGCAGTATCCTATAACAAATGTGATTGCCTCATGATATTTTTCTTGCAACTGGAAAAAATATATGATCTCCTTCACAAGAAGGTTGTGACCGGAAGGGCATCCAGGGTTAACTTTGCTACTTTTTTCTTGGATTTATAATCTTAACAAAACAACAACAACAACAACAACCCAGTTAAATCCCACAAGAGTAGGGTCTGGGGAGGGTGTGTGTACGCAGACCTTGCCCCTACTCGAAAGTAGAGAGGCTGTTTCCAAAGAGACCCCCGGCTCAACGTCGAAAGTTGCATTGCTTGACTAACTGCTACTTCATTAATTAGAGAAGCACAGATAGTTTAGAGATCCATTTTGATTTATTCCATCACACCCCAAAGCCAAAAAATGGTGAAATTTTGGCTCCATCAGAGATAAAGGAAACAAATTGACACTAAATTTCCTTTCACCGGCCAGACTTGTTGGGATTAATGTGGGTAGGACTAACATTTATTACATTGTATAATACTCCGTAGTACCCGAGTAATTAATTTCTATCATTGTCTGCATCATCATCACTGATACTTCAGTATTATTGGATGCGATTGTTTTCATTAATAAAAAGGGGGGGCAAAAAGAATTCTGCATGGTCTTAATCTTTTCACCTTGTAGAACAACAGTGCATATCAGGTTTCTTAACATTTTTCTTTTTGTTACCTTTTTTTACTTGATTAGCCCCTCCTAAACGCGCAAGCAGCTGGTGTTTTGACGAAAAAACCTTTTTAAAGTCACTTTACAAGGTAAAGGATCAATTCATTTTTGGTTTAGCACCTCAATGCTTAACATTATTTCCTTACATGTTGATTGGCTCACAAGCATTGCGCTATTACCTTTGTTATATACAGTATTTTTACAAAATGGTTCATTACAGGTTTTGGTATCCGTCTCAGAAACTAATTGCATCATACTCTATATGAGGGACGTTGATCGACACCTTCGATCCCCACGAGTTTTCAACCTTTTTCACAGAATGCTTAAGAAGTTATCCGGATCAGTGTTGGTTCTTGGATCACGCGTAATAGAACATTTTGATGAAAGAGGTGAAGTAGATGATAGATTCAATGTATTATTCCCCTACAACATTGAGATTAGGCCACCTGAAGATGAGACTCATCTTATAAGCTGGAAAGCCCAACTGGAAAAGGATATGCAGACGATCCAGTTTCTGGACAACAGAAATCACATTGCCGAGGTACTTGCAGCAAATGACCTTGAATGTGAGGATTTAGGGTCTATCTGTCAAGCAGATGCAATGATTTTGAGTAACTACATAGAGGAAATTGTTGTGTCTGCAATATCATACCATTTGATGAACAACAAGGACCCAGAATATAGAAATGCAAAGCTTATCATATCATCCAAAAGGTAAATATAAATATCTCCATTATTCTAGCTCCATACATTCTTTACCATATCCCTCCCAAATATCTTTGTTTCCTGTATTTATTCGTTATTGGCCATGGGATAGTTTGTCCCATGCATTAAGTGTCTTCCAGGAGGGAAAAAGTGGTTACCGAGACACTACCAAGCTGGAAACGAATAATGAATCTTCCAAGGTTTGTTAAAGAAAATGTCAATTTCCGTTTTGAGACTTGTGAAGAAATTTTCTGTTGAACCGTTTTTTTAAATGTTTGTAATAGGTAACTGCAGGAGGAGACGGTGTTGAGTCAAAGCCTGAAGCAAAGCCTGAAAACCTTGTATCCGAGAGTAAAAGTGGGACTGAAAAACCAGTTACACTGATGAAAAAAGATGGTGAACCTACAGCAGCACAAAAGGCTCCAGTAAGTACATCTCCTTATTCAGTAAGAAGCCATTTGGTAAGGGCTATTCAGCTGAAATGGTTGGGTGAAACATATGTCAGCCGAAGAAGTAACTTAAATGCATACTTGTTCTGCCTATTCTATGATTTTGCTGATAAGCCAACTAACTTTACCAATCAGAATAAGCATTAGTGTTACCAAACAGGACCTGATTATCACAGTCCACTATTTTGAACTTTTTTTCTCCTATTTTACTAAAATGAGGCTCTTTGGTTTTCCATTAAGCAGTAAATATGTCTTGACTACAGGAAGTTCCACCAGATAATGAGTTCGAGAAACGCATACGGCCAGAGGTGATACCCCCAAATGATATTGGGGTGACCTTTGAAGATGTTGGCTCTCTTGATGAGATTAAGGAATCTCTTCAAGAACTTGTTATGCTTCCTCTTCGAAGACCTGATCTCTTTAATGGAGGTCTTCTTAAGCCTTGCAGAGGCATCTTGCTCTTTGGTCCTCCTGGCACTGGAAAAACCATGATGGCAAAGGCAATTGCAAATGAAGCTGGGGCAAGCTTCATAAATGTCTCAATGTCAACCATTACTTCGAAATGGTTCGGTGAGGATGAAAAGAATGTAAGAGCTTTGTTCACACTTGCTGCCAAGGTTTCTCCAACTATAATTTTCGTGGATGAAGTTGATAGCATGCTTGGACAACGAACAAGGGCTGGAGAACACGAAGCCATGCGAAAAATCAAGAACGAATTCATGACTCATTGGGATGGACTGTTGACGAAATCGGGTGAACGCATTCTCGTTCTTGCAGCAACTAATAGGCCGTTTGACCTGGATGAAGCAATTATCAGGCGCTTTGAGCGCAGGTAAATCATACACTCTTTACCTTATATCAGTGATCCATTTGTTCCTAAAAATACTGTTTGGAACTTATTTTGTCCAAAAAAACTCAGGTTTGAACAAAAAACCAAGTAACTTTGTAACTTCTATAGTAACTAAAAAAGATTTCGCAAACAAGGTAAATTTGTTAAATTTAGTTAAACTAACAAATAAATTTTGAAATATACTGGAGTATCAATAATTGATGATCTTCAATAGCTTTACGGGATGAAGGGGGAGTATAGATATGTTCATCTAGTTATAGGATATGACATTTATTTTGGTTTTTTTCTTCCAAGGCTTCTCTTGGGAACACATTACTGAGAGTCCATATGGTAGTAATGCCATTTTCTTGAGGATCAGTGTTTTCAGCCTCGTCTAAAATACTGAGAAGCTTAAGCATATTATGTGAAGATACATCAGTGATATGCCACCTGTCCATGCCAGCTGTCCAATTCTCCTAACTAATTGTCCCTACTTTCTAGCTTAGATATTTTTGGTTTGTTAGGCTAGATATTTTTGGTTAGTTAGGCAGCTCAGTATGGTGTGTATATATATACTTTGTTTCCTTTTCTCTGGGACGACGGATCAGAATATGAAGCTTGAATAACATTTCCATTTTCTTCTTCCCTGAGTTCTTCTCTGTTCTCTTTCTGTTCACAACTTTAACATGGTATCGGAGCCATGCTTTAATGGTGTTATCATTTCCGATTCAACCTGAATTTGTCAAAACTCGATTCCATTCCTCATTCCAAATCAAAATCTGATTCGAAGGCATGGCGGAACCAGTGACTCGTTCTTCAATCGATCCACAGAGCGAGCTGTATCTACATCCAACGGAGACGCCTAATTTCTCTCTTGCTTCTCAGAAGTTGAATGGCGACAATTATGCACAATGGAAACGATCGGCTGAGATTGCTCTGAGTGCGAGAAACAAGCTTGGATTTGTGGATGGGAGCTCGAAGGCACCAGAACCGAATTCTCCTCTGCTCAATCAGTGGAAGCGATGCAATAATCTGGTAATTTCTTGGATTTTGCACTCAGTTGAACCTGGAATTGCAAGTAGCATTTTGTATTATGATACTGCACATGAGA